ATCCTACAGATTAAATTGCTTTCGTGGTAGGTTTGTACTAACCAGACATGCATTCCTGAATTGTGAGAGACGAGTAGAAAACGTGAGCTTGAGAAACTGTAATTATCTATAAATAAAAGATGTTTTCTAAAAACATTGGATTATATAGGAGGCAGTCTCTTCCTCCATCGTCTAATAGACACACACAGCCCTGTGGCAGGCCTCTCTGACCAACACTTTGATTGACGGCAGAAAGAGCCTATGGCTCCTCTATCAGTATCCCCCCAGGAAGTACGGGGAACGGAGGATCACTGGGACCAGCGGCAGTGACGAGCATCACTGACAGGTAAGTGTGGGGGGTGACTAGGGGAGAAAAAGGTTCTAGGTGGTTTTTACCCGAATGCATTAAGGTAAAGAAAGCCCAGACCTTAATACTACTTTAACTTTGGACTGTCCTCTGACTTCATTTGATGCATGCTTGTGATGGGGCACCGACTCAAAGTACTGAAGACAGAGACAGCTAGGCAACTAGCATTTTCAATAGGAAGCCATGGCAGTCAGCATACAGGTTTCCTACAAGCACTTCTTTACAGAATGAGGCAGATTGTGTTACTTTTTTTGCAGTAGAGAGGAATTTACGAAAATACACATATTAGGGTTCAGTCACACTAGATGCAGTGCGTTCCGGACCGATTTTGGCTGGAACGCACTGCCTCGCATTGCGGCCAGCTCACTTTCTAGTGGTGTGGGAGGGGGCGTGGCGGGCCATTCAAGTGAATGGCGCCGTAGCCACGCCCTCCGGCCGCAATGCGATCCGCCGCACGGGATCGCAAGGCACATTGTGCCTGCGGTCCAAACCTGTGCGATGCTGTGACTGAACCCTTAGAAGATATAATGAAACAAACTGTGAAGCATGGAGTACTTTGGAAATATTGAAGCTTTAATCCATGTAAATAATATACAGACGTGCAAATAGGAACTGACTTGGTTTAAACAATAAATGGACCTTTCTCAGCATGAAAAACTGAACCACACATATGAATAAATATTTATATAAATTGAATTGACAGTCTCATCTTGTATTTGGATTGTAATACAGCATACTCTAAAAACAGCAACTGAAAATACTGTGCAGCAGTGTAGCGTAACGATTGTCAGTGTAGCGTACCGATTGTTTATAAAGAATCAGATTATTTTCACCATTGTTCCAGTACTGTGGCTGAGCAGGAAAAATAAAAGATGGAAAGCACCAAGGCTGCTGGTATTTTGGAATGTTTGTCTTCAGTGGTGGTCAGCTCCTGTCCTTTACATACAAACAAATATGCTCCCTCTAGGGCCTTTCTATTATTTTAGAGTCAAAAATACCCTTTGATAGAGAAGCCTCTGTATGTCACCCAGCAAGTCAGTGATTGGGTTTCCATAGAAACACAAACTCTGAAAAGCCATCTTCAACTTGCTGCATGTGACCTGAAGCATCATACGCTGTAACCGATCCCCGGCTCCCTGTAAATGGACAGAAGAGACGAGAACCATTTACAGTCAACGTGGCTGCAGGGCACATGCCCCAAGTTAAAGTGGAAATCTAAGGCTCATGTTTATATGGAGATCCAATTGTTGATTGGCCAGGCAGCATACAATGGCTTCTGAACCAGATGTTTTTTTTTTTTTTACTGGTGGGAGTATTTTTGTTTGTTTGTATGTAATCTTGCCTCCATCTTTTAAAGTAGAATACCAGTCAATATCCGTTTTGCATAAAGTGGGGAAGGTTTAGAAATGACATGCAGTGAGCAACCCCTTTCCATAGTCATTGGGACAATGAGTGTGCTACCCCCTTCCATAGTCATTGGGACATGAAGTGAACTATCCCTACCCTGGTTATTGGGACATGAAGTGAGCTCTCCCTACCACGGTCACCTGGACAAGAAGTGAGCTATCCCCACCATGCTCACTGGGACAAGAAGTGAGGGCAATCTAGCAGGGACCCCAACAACAATATAAATCTGGAAAAAAGGTAGTAACAACTAAACCCCTATCGTGGTCATTGGGACATGAAGTGAGCAACCCCCTACCATGGTCACTGGGACATGAAGTGAGGGCAATCTAGCAGGGACCCCAACAGCAATATAAATCTAGCAGCGGTACTACCCCCTACCATGGTCACTGGAACATGAAGCGAGTTACCCCCTATCATGGTCATTGGGACATGAAGCGAGTTACCCCCTACCATGGTCACTGGGACATGAAGCGAGATACCCCCTACCATGGTCACTGGGACATGAAGCGAGTTACCCCTTTCCATGGTCACTGGGACATGAAACGAGTTACCCCCTACCATGGTCACTGGGACATGAAGCGAGATACCCCTTGCCATGGTCACTGGGACATGAAGCGAGTTACCCCCTACGATGGTCACTGGGGCATGAAGCGAGTTACCCCCTACCATGGTCACTGGGACATGAAGCGAGATACCCCTTGCCATGGTCACTGGGACATGAAGCGAGTTACCCCCTACGATGGTCACTGGGGCATGAAGCGAGTTACCCCCTACCATGGTCACTGGGACATGAAGCGAGATACCCCTTGCCATGGTCACTGGGACATGAAGCGAGTTACCCACTGCCATGGTCACTGGGACATGAATTGAGTTACCCACTGCCATGGTCACTGGGACATGAATTGAGTTACCCCCTGTCATTGTCACTGGGACATGAAGTGAGTTACCCCCTACCACGGTCCCTAGGACATGAAGTGAGTTACCCCCTACCACGGTCCCTAGGACATGAAGTGAGTTACCCCCTACCATGATCCCTAGGACATGAAGTGAGTTACCCCTACCATGGCCACTGGGACGTGAAGTGAGGGCAATCTAGCAGAGAACCCAACAGCAATATAAACCTAGGTACTAACCCTTCCCCACCTTTTCAGAAATAAATGGCTGGCATTACACTTTGACCTACTAACAGGGAATGCCTTCATTCTACCATGTTGCATTTGTTTGGTACTTCCTAATTAAAGTACACATGTACTAAGAAAAACATGTAGGCTACATTGCAGAGAGAGAGGCCAGCAACAGCAGCCTCCATGATCCCTCTAATCTGTGCAGCTATGAGCATTAACATGCATGTTAAAACACACTACTTGTCATCATTATGGAGGCTTGCTTGCATGGAAGTGTGCCCAAACCATAGCATGCGCCGTGTCTGTGAAGGTTCTCATTCATCCAGGTGGTGTATCTGTAAAAATAAATCAGGGAAAGTGGACTTGCTGTATTTGCTGCTAGCTCCAATCATGCAAATGCAATCAACACCTTACCTCCATGAGGTCTCTGACCCCATGCTGGTTATGATGAACAGATTATGTTGAATGGGAATAAATATGGTGAATGTTGCTGAAGATAATTTTTTGTACAAGGTCATTCTGAATTGAGAAAGCTGGTCGGATGACCAGCGAAACGTCTTCAAGAAAAATACAGCGAGTCCAGTTGCCTTGATTTGTTTTTTTTGCAGACATGGCATGCCCCATTTTTACTGTATTACAATTTAAACAACACAGGAATCTCCATACATGACATTTAAAGCTCAATTCCAGCCATGCAAAACAAGTGCAGTGGAAACGCCATTGGGTACATACCTGGGGCATTAAAGAGTGGAGAAGCATGGCTTTACCCAAAACGCATGCAACGTTAGAAGGTCTCGCACTCGGCCCCAGGCTAAGCTTATATTCTGTCCACGAGGAGGGTGTTGGGCACGCTTGAACAAACATATAATTAGGAAAATCAAAAACATCATTTGTCTGTGCAAACTATTTTAGATTCACCCCAAGCTATGTAGTGCAAGGTTGTACCTAAACAGGTTATTCAATTTAGATCAGTACAGACACTCACGCTACACAGCTAATAGAAAAAGAAGATTGTATAATCAGATTGTAACAGGTGTGTCCAGAGGACAATGAAATCACAGAATCACGGGTGATAGAATATTAGTGTCATTCTCCAAACCTTTACTTTGACCTAGAAGTAAGGAAAGCAGGACCAGTTAGGGGTCCATGAGGAGTACAGATACAGAATATTGTAGTGCACATTGGTGAATGTTTGGAATTTTAGGGGAATCTGAAAGTGTGGAAATTTCTGCTCTTTGCAAACACTATACAATTTGGCTAATAATTTACCTCATTAAACGGGAACAAAGCGTGCCAAAAATAACAAGCACTTCAGAACAATACATATCCATAGTACTAGAATTTCCCTGATCTTATCAATGGCCCCACCAAGGAAGAACATGGAAAGTGACCAGGTGGATTCTTTACATGTACACAAGACGGGGGCCATTTAAAAAATTCAAGTCTATGCTATTTCTCGGCTTTGGATCCCCTTTTACCTCACAAGTACAAGTAGTAGTAGTACAATGTATGATATTATAAATGATATGCGGCTTTCTGTGCAGTAATTGTGAAGTGAATATTGATTTGTAACCCGATTTCTAGTTTAATGTTAAAAGGACAATAAAACATAGATGGATCCTGTACACAATGGCTCCAATATGAGGCCAAGCTCATACAGGCTCTAGCTTATAAACACCGTTCTGCTGAGATACAGATACAGCAATCATCTACAAAGCATTTCACAAGGTTAGTGTTTACAAGCTGAAGCCTGTGAATTAGGCCTTTGTGTCCGCTCCACTATTGCCCTGTGTCCTATTAGATGCAATGGGGTACCCATGAGCTATTCATATTCATGCCGCAATGAACACCAATTGCACTAGATTAAATCCTGACAGATCTGTGGTCAGGCTGGTGTCCAGGACCGCATAAATCTGCACAGTTCATGCAGTCCCCACTGAAAAGATCAGAACATGCTTCATTAAATTGCCAGTTGCATTAACTGAGGAATAATTATAGTCTAGCACTGACTGACAAGTGGCCAATTTCTTCAATTTCCATATTTTAAAAAGCACAGATTTTTTCTTAACTCTTCACTAATTTGTGGCAGGTTTGTAAATTATTTAGCAAAATTGCATATTTTATTTTGCACAGCTCAGAATGTACCAGCTTTATAAATGGCCCCCAAGCGCTGCAAGATAAGCCTACAGGAAAAACATAGTTTACGAAGACTGGACAAATGAATGCTGTTATTCGCAGCAGCCAATTGGTTCCCTTAATCTCATAGCAGTACTAGAAAAAAATGACTGTTGGCATCCAGTTGCTACTGGGCCTTTATAGAAGACGATTTAGTGTAAATGGACACCCCTGTGAACATTAAACCTTCGGTCAGAGAGGGTAGCTGAAATGTGTTGGTCCCTTATAAATATTATTTCTATAGAATCTGCGGTAGATTTACACACACATAGCCGGCAATGCCATTTCCCTCCAGTCCTTCCACACCTGCGGTGCTTGTACAGTGAATAGAGGTCACCTGGGCATTAATACAGAGCAGCTTCTATTGAACAGTATTCCTACATAACTCACGGATGCCAAGAAATATACAAAAGGCATTCAACAAGTAACCTTTTCTGTACCTACAGTAGATCTTCGGTTACACAGGAGTCTAATATACAACACTACTTTGTTGAATAGTAAATACATGGTGAGTAGGCTAAAAAACAGTTTAGACATGCTTTGTTTCAGATGAGCTACTGTAGGCCAACAGAGAGCGTTTGTGTTGTGTCCGATAGAAAGGGAGGCGTTTGCTGTGACCTCAGAGTGCTCTGCACGTGAAAATGTCGGCGGTAAAGCAGTCTTGTGTGTTGCCATGGCTCTTCTCAGTTCGTTATTTCTTCTTTGCATTGACATTTTTGCAGACCCAGTTCATGCCGTCCTAGAGAAAGAGAGAGGCAGGGAAATCATATGTCAAGTCACCTCATAGAAGGCTGAAATTACAATATATAACACCCACATCAACAAAAGAAAACACAAAAATTACATCCTCTATTATTACCTCCAATTCCAACCAGTTATAAGCAATCTACAGCCCATTTTCAGATATTTAAAGATATGAAATCAGCTTTATGTAAAATATTCTTATCAATTGATGCCCATTTTTAAAAAACCTTTAAAGTATTAACATTGCCACCTGTTTTGGGGCATGTATAGCGTGCTGCTGCAAATATGAAGTGTCTTAAGAAATCTAATTCTATGCGTGTGAACTGAACAGTGTGTGCTACCCCTCCCTAAGCTGGTTCACCTATTGTATTGTGAGTCTACCAGCTCAAGAGGGGCAGGTCTGCTACAGAGGGTGCGGGCACACCAAAACGGGAAAGCACGAGGGCAGGCCTACAGACATGCTTCCTACAGAGGGTGTAGGGGCAGGCATGCAGAGACAGGCCTGCTACAGGAGGGTGGGCACGTATAGACAGGCTTGCTACAGCGAGGAGGGGTGGGCATGTAGAGACAGGTTTGTTACAGAAGTCGCAGGGGTGGGCACACCAACAGGCTTTCTACAAAGGGCACAAAGACAGGCATCCTACAGAGGGAACGGGCACACAGACAGGCTTTCTACAGAGGGGACAGGCACACAGGCAGGCTTTCTACAGAGGGCAGAGGGGGCGTGCACACGGTCAGGCTTGCTACAGAGGGGGCGGGTACACAGACAGGCTCTCTACAGAGGGGGCGGGCACACAGACAGGCTTCCCACAGATGGGGCGGGTACACAGGCAGGCTCTCTACAGAGGGGACGGGCACACAGGCTTCCTACAGAGGGGGTGGACACACAGACAGGCTCACTACAGAGGGCAGAGGGGGCGGACACACAGGCTTCCTACAGAGGGCAGAGGGAGTGGGCACGCAGACAGGCTTGCTATGCTAAAGCTTGGAGACAGATTGGGCAGCTTGATGATATGAGCCGCTCAGCTATTGCAGATCACAGTAAATGAAAACAAGAGCACGGGCACGGTGAACAGCTTTTAGAAATGCTAGTTGTCTGGCTGTCCCTGGCTCTAGTACTTTCCGAGTTCTGACCTGGAACATGAATGCAGATGCGTACGTTCACACTGCAGGCAGAACTTTGGATCTGCATACTTGCTTCATGTAAACAACTCAAATGTACTGAAGCCATTAGAAAGGCCAGCAGTTGCAGCCGCCAGGCTTTGGTTTCTAACCATTCAATGTACGACAGTACAACAGCTGTTATCATGCATATACATAATACTCACCAAAAATATACACAGTGAGTTCTATGAACCTCCCCACTTAGATCATTGCTCAGAACACAGGTGTACATGGCAGAGATAATATCTCTGGAACAGTATAAAAGGTCTCGTAGTCAGCCATACTGAACCGGATACATAGTAGTGACCAGCAGTCAGAACACAGGTGTACACAGCAGATAACATCTCTGAATTATTGCAGCAGATGGAATTCACCAGGACGTCAATGTCTGCTACATTTAAAGGGCTAATACTGCATCACAGACACATTGCATAAACCAGACCCATAAGCCAGCATGGGAGAATTTGTTCAAATTCAAAAGGTTTCTTTTTTTTTTTCTAGCTTTCTAGCCATTATGGAGGCGGATGGATGTAGGAGGTGACAGATGGTGCCTTAGTAAAGATATTGCTGTGATAATGATAATACTGCCGATGGTCCCCACAAAATGTATCAATATGCACAAACAGGTAACTCAGTGAAAAATATACCATCCCTTTCTTGTTTTTACTTTCAGTAACAGTTATATATATATGATTATGTATTGATCAGGCTGGATTCATGTGTTAAACGGTGTTGGCATGGATGTGTGCATGGATTCATGTGTTAATAAACTGTGTTGGCAATACCTGTACATTCCTTTTGGGGACATCCCCATTTATTTCTAATAAGCCCATAGTGTATGTCATCACAGTAAACAACAGCTCTCCTTTCAACACACCAGAATAAAAAATGGGTCAGGTACTTTTTTCTTATGCGTTAAACCTCATTAAGGGCCCATAGGAAAAGAAAGAGCAGATACAATGCAATGGGTACATACGGGTCTGAATGGGCCCTAAAAAGTAATCAATACTTGTTTAGTGTCATGTTACACATGCACCACGACTTGCCACTTCGCATTATTTGTTTCATAATTTGCCTCTTAGAATTTTGTCCCTACCGCCCCCTGTAGTTCAGTTCTCTCTGCTTTTGGCTCCACCCTTTTGGGAGTATGTTCTAGACTCCATTCCATCGACATGTATTGATGGAGTGGTGATTTTTCGACCTATCTGGATTTTCACTGTTGTCAACAAAAATGTATTTTTATTGTGTATTACTCTGTAGATCCTCAAATCATCTCTGAATTGGTGCTGACACTGTCCTTCCTTCTGGAGGGTGGTTACTTTTGTTCCCCATGGTCCCTGTGTGTGTTGTAAAGTAGCCACCGCTCCAAGCTCACTCCTGTGATGGACTACAATCTCCATACATATTGGTAAACTAAATAGGAGATTGTAGTCCATCACAGGAGCGAGCTTAGAGTGATGACTACTTTACAACACACACAGGGACCATAGGGAACAACGCTCCAAGCTCACTCCTGTGATAGACTACAATCTCACATTTACTTAGCCATGGGGAACAAAAGTAGCCACCCTCCAGAAGGAAGGACAGTGTTAGCACCAATTCAAAGCCGAGTGATGCACAAATAAGATACATTTTTGTTGATAGTCAAGGTAATTGAATTCATTTTTTTAAGATTTAAAGTGACATTAAACCCACAGATTTGTTAACATAAACCAATACTGTAATCCATGGTTGTTTCCCTTCTCTTTGCTGCTCTTCTTTTTAATTCCTTATCTCTTCTCATGCTTGGGGAGAACTTCCCTTTGCAGCGGAGTGCCTCTTCCTGTAGTGCTGGCTCAGGTTGTGAACCTTCACACAGACACCATGTATCCATTCCTGTGACAGGGCAGTCTGCTGCAAAACAGAAGTTCTGCCCAGCATGAGAACAGATACAGATTTAAAAGGAAGAGCAGCAAAGAGAAGGGAAACAACCATGGATTAGAGTATTGTTTTATGTTAAAAAAATCTGAGGGTTTAATGTCACTTTAACTCCGAAGTTTAGTGTCACTTTAAACTATGAAGATCTTGACAAAAGTGAACATCCAGCTAGGTAAAAAAAAAAATCAACACTCCATCAATACATGTCGATGGAATGGAGTTGAGGATCTACAGCGGAGTGATACACAGATGAGATACATTTTTGTTAATAGGATTCTTGAATGCATCTTTAAGATCAATTCCGGAGCTTAATGTCACTTTAACATACTTCTCAATGATCTTCTAGTCATTCTGGTTGAGTCAACTGTCTGCCAACACTACTGAAGTTGTGATTTATTGTGATCTTGCGACAGCTTCAAAAGTTATAGAGGTCACAATTTCAACACGAAGACTGGGGAGGCATAATATTTACGTGTTTTCAAGATACTAATGGAACCACTATATTTACCCAAAATTTTAGGATGATGTCATTCTCATAAGTATATAAAAGTAATTCACCCACTTGAAGGGTTTTTAAAGTATTGATATGTTTATTCAATACCCAATGTCACATACTGTCATACGGTGCTAACGTTTCGGGTCCGCACAGGTATCCTTCCATCAGAGCCACGTGTCACTGTCGCTCTGATGAAGGATCCCTGTGCGGACCCGAAACTTATTCTCATAAGTATAACACTGAAATACATGAAATGTGTAAACGGTCTTACTTACCAAAGAATTTGTAAGCGTTCGGACAGTTTTTTCTTAACACCCCTGCCTGACACTATACTAAGTCCTGACCATTTACGTTTCCCCACTGCAGTCAAATCAATGTGGCCTGGTCAAGACTGAGGTTGGATAGTAAAAAAAAATCAGCTCATGGATAGGATTATCATTGAAATCTCTCCTCCAATGTGCAAGTTCCACTGGGTTATGCAGCCATATCTCATTGGCTTTCAGTGCTGTCCCTTCTTCTCTTAGTTTCAATGCTGATGTGCAATGGACTGCAGGAGGTTAGTACAAAGATAGATTGGAGGTACTTTTCAAAATACAAAGACATTAAGAAATAAAACTAGGTCAGATTTGGGGTGTCTGAGAACGTGGAAATTTCTTTACTGCACAGCAAACACTGGCCTGACCCACACTGGCCCAGTGTATGTGCATTTGGGTTTACCGCCTGCACACGTCCGACCAGGCCGGCGTTCCATTTGAAGTGTGTAAACAGTTTTTGGACATATCCTTCCAACTATTTTGTTTATAAAAACACATTTACGACAAACTGGTCATATTCCAGTCCACATGGTGAAACGGGCCTCCCAGGAAGTAGTTAAATACTGACCTCATCCTTAAGACCAAGATATCTGCATTCCCCATTACCCAGCATTATAATCAATACATTATCTATGTCGCACGCATTTTCTCAGCTACCACCTCATTGCGGTGAGCTATGTGAGTGCAGAGAAAACTGCTCGAGTATCAGATGTGTCTCTGGAATGAAGTCATCCTGTGGCTGTGTAGCTTGATATCCATCTGACCGTATCAACAGCCATCATGCCAAACATGAGACAAGGCCCTTCATTAATTTTCTATGTGGGTTCACTGGCTCGTCCAGAACAGCTGAGGCAGCTTAAAACAATAACGATGTGCTGACACCTTCTTCCTACTCGGTGCACTTATTCCATAAACAGCACTGGCCTCTCGACACAATAAACATGCAACATCCTTGGCTCATCTATCTATTGTATACACACAGAGCTATTAAACAATATGGCCTGTTCAAACAGCATGAAATCTACCGAGTGCTGTGCATTAGGCTGAGAGAAACAGAGTTATTGGCAGGCAGTGCAGTGGAGAGGCGGCATGATAGGAGGGCAG